ATAAGACATGGCACTCCGCGAACCTATCCTGCCTCCCGAAGCAGCAGAAGTCTCAGCTGTCGTTTGAAGGCAGGTCGCGACAGAGACTGCAGCTCATTGGGCAGTCTGTTAAATAGCGCACTGGCATGAGATAGACGCCTAGCACCAGAGCATGTCTTTGCACGTGGGCACTGTAACTGGCCAGACTGCCGAGTGTGATGGGGTGTCGACACATATGAGAGCATCGCTGCAATATCCGCTGGCAACTGGGTATCTAGCGCAGTCTTGATCAGACACAGCCTATGATAGCTGACGAGCTGCCTCGCTGAGAGCCACCCTAGCTGCCGAAGTACATCGGATACCCGATCATACTTGCGCCGACCACTAATGACACGTGCGCAGAAATTCAAGAGTTTCTGCACACGGTGCAACTGGGAATCATTGCATGAGCCATACACAGACACACAATAGCGTATTGAACTGACCACAAGAGCATTCACCTGATACGCGACAGTCCAAGAAGGCAGCACGTGTCTAGAGTGAGCTAAAGAGATGAGGATGCCAGTTGATTTCGCGACAAGGTGAGTGATGTGATCATCAAAACTCAGGCAGCGATCCATGGTAAGTCCGAGATTTTTCACAGTTTGACTTTCAGTGATGAACGATGAACCAAACTTAATCGTAACAGGTGGGATGCTTTGCAAAGTTCTTTTTGTGCCATGAACGATGAGCTGTGTCTTAGAATGGTTAATTTTCATCCTGTGAGAGCTGAACCAGTCAGCGAGACCACCAAGGTGATTCTCCATGGTAGCAATGAGCTCAGGTAAGTGGCTTTTTTTACCGCGTACAGCGATTTGCACGTCATCAGCGTACTGAATGATGGTTGCATCAGAAGCATGTAGAGCCAGGTCGTTGCAGAAAATTGAAAACAGAATTGGACCCAGAGCTGTACCCTGATACACACCCATCGTGATGGGCAGTGAATCGGAGCAGACCAGCTGGCCGTCCGCACCGCGATAGCCGATACTGCACCTGCTGACTGTGATCAGAAAGATACGATTCGAACCATGTGGTGTCAATGTTGTATAGCTTAAGCTTAGCGAGTAGGAGATCATGGTCAACTAAATCAAAGCCCTTCGACAGATCGCAAAGAACAACAAGTACGATCTCAGAAGCGTCCATAGCCGAAAGAATAAAATCTGACAGAACGGTGAGAGCTGTCTCAGTGGAGTGCAGCTTTCGGTAACCGTGTTGGGTAGCCGACCAAAGTCGATGTTCGTCAAAATATTCACTGAGTTGCAGATAAACAATGCGCTCAACGATCTTGGACACACCAGGAACGACAGTGATTGGTCTAAATTTAGTGACGTCTGTGAGGTCATCAGATTTGGGCAGAGGCGTAACGAGACCATGTTTCCATGCAGATGGCACGCAACCCGTGGTCAAACACGAATTGACAATATCGTGGAGAACGTGTCCTAAGCCATAAAAACATTTTTGGAACATGTGAACACTAATGCCATCAGTTCCGCAAGATTTAGAAGCATTTAAACTACCGAGTGTGTACATGAGAGACTCCAGTGAGACGGGACTGACGCTGAAAGAGCAGGTAAGTACCCGGGGCAGCAGCGACGGCACAGCACGACAGGGCGGAGGAACAGTTCGCGCAGTAGCCGGTCCAACATTCACAAAGTGGCTGTTCAGAGCGTTACAGCAGACTGCAGGAATGGCATGAGCACGTGAGTCACCACCTCCTATCACCGGCTTCAGGCATCGCCACATACTACCCCTCCCCGCCTCAGTAATGCGGCGGTGGATGTCATCACGACAGTCGCGTCTAATGGCTGCTTTAGTAAGGCGGTTGAGTTGTTTGTAACGAGCACGGTCGCAAGATGCTAGAGCTGCACGCCGTTCACTCATCAGCGCACGAGTAGCCTCAGACACCGGTGCGGCAGCAGGATTGCGCAATCTAACGCGACGGATAGGTGCGGTCAAATCCAGTAGGGAGGTGAACAAAGATGTGTGAACATAAGATGTGACCTTTTGCTATATTCTTCACCGTCATTTCTAACATCAGAACAAAGCCATCGTCATTCGCAATTACTTTCGATTCAAGACTACGGTCCACCCACCCAGCCAACGCTCTACTAGACAGTACTAGTAGTGCAGCTTCTCATCTGTAACGTGCCAATGGGATTGGATCAGTTGCTGCCTGTGGCGCACCATTTTGTCATGGTCGGCATAGCCCAAATCTCCCTCGCTTCCTCTCATTTCATTGCCATTGAATGGTTTGAGGTGACGACCGGCCTAGGCCAACAAAGAAAATTAGGTAAACAAATAGCATTACTGCCACTGACCCTTAACCCTCGCATGTGTAGGGGGGGGGGGGGTCGGATGGACCCCCCCCCCCATGGTTTTTCGCAAATAACTCGCGTAAAAAGCGGCCGATCGCAACGAAACTTTCAGTACCCTCGCATTGATCAATTTTACACCTACCCTGAAAATTTCATGACCCTGACCCAAATGACCTTTGACCTGTGACCTCTTTTCCGAGACCATGTTTGGCCGGAATCGCGATTTCGCGTATGTCGGCTCGCACTAGCCGCGTGTTTGCAAGCTTTTCGTGGTTTCAAACGTTCAAACATGTGATTTGATGTTACTCCCGTGTGTGTCAAGGTCATCTGAAGGTCAGGTCAGGTCATTGACCTTTGGTGACCTCGGGTGACCTCGGGTCACTTTTTCGAGTTTTACATGTTTCTAGGCTAGTTTTTGGAGCTGAATTCGAATTTAGCAACCATTTGAACATTTACGAAGTAGTTTTGGTGACTTTGTAACATGTTACGAAGCTGTCAGAGGCGGTTGACACGTACTACGAATACCCGTCACGACGCCTACTGGTTGACCTGACCTGACCTGACCCGACCTGGTCTAAATGCTTCAAGACATCATCTGTGATCAAAACTAACACGATATTCGTGATCAGCACCCCGAAAAACCCCTTAGCAGCCACACTTTACGACTTTCTAACAGGTCCCGATTTTCCCGACTTTGGGTCATTGACCTGACCTGGAAGGTCAACCAATGACCTAGGACCTTAAAATTGGGTATCATCGGCTTCCTCTCGTCACGGGCAACACGCTCGTTTTTTCCGCGAAGCTCTAGCTCGATCAGGGGCCAAACGGCAAGGGGGGGGTCCAACCGACCCCCCCCCCTACACATTAGAAGCTGGCAAACGCCGCACACATGCGAGGGTTAACCCTCGCCCGCACATGGGGGGGGGGGTTGCAACCCCTCCCCAGGTAGTTTTTCTGTTCTGCACTGAACATTTTTAAAGCTAGAAGCCTGATTTTTCGTATAGCTGCTACTGTCCTTTCTCAGCGTCCACTGAAAATGTCCAGTTTCTGTGGATTCTTTGGTTTCGGAGATATGATACCCGTCGTGGCACGTGCCACGTGAAAAGCCAAGGGTGTCCAAGCTGTTCTGCTGAAGTGGCGATTTTGAGAGGCCCATATCTCGGCCAAATCTCGGCAACCGCTGGGGCGATTGACTTGCGATATTTTTTGTAGGGTAGTTGCATCTCTTCTAGCAAAGATCGGGTACTCCTAATGCATGTGGGTCACCCCCACTGAACATGCAAAATGCAACAGAGGTGTCAAGTTTGTTCCCATTGCAATAACTCTGGGAATTACTGGGCCGATTTGATTTCGCTGAAACCTTGCATGAAGATAGGCACCCACCAGTCAATGCATTCTCATGTGTTATCGGTTAGGGTGCTACTGCACGTGCGCACATGCGGGGGCGCTTCCAGAATCCTGATCTCTAGAACGGCTGGGCCGATTGCGCTCAAATTTAGTATGCAGTTAGGCACCGGTTGGTATGGTGCCGTGCAAAAGTCACTTTGGACCCAGTTTACACGTGCGCACGTGCAGGGGCCGCTATTAGATCTCAGTAACGGCTGTGCCGATTGCCTCCAAATTCGGCACACCGCTAGTGATTGGTAGGGTGCTGTGCACAAGCCAGTAAGAAGCACCCTCTCACCCTTTCGCACGTGCAGGGTTCACTCTCTCGCTGCTCGTTCTTCGCCCTAAAGGCGTTTTACTGTGCACATAAATATTACTGGTTCATATCTCCAATACAATGTGCGCTAACCAGTTTTCACAGTAACTCAGCCAGCATTTCTGGTGCTGTGTTGAAGAGATGTTTACAATGAGGGTCAAACTTAAGGAAAACGAACTATAGTTTGTCTTTGGTGAACCTACGTGACCTTGTTTACATTGTACCTACTCTGCCTGGAAGTCTAAGAAAGCGTTCTGTGTGATCATTATGATCAATCTCAGTCCATTCTTCGCCAACTGGGCTCCAAATCCAGTAATGTAAAGACTTACAGCTTGTGCCCTTGCCATGACCTTGACCTGACCTGTGACCTAGCTAGGAAACGCTGGTTAGCTCTTCATCGGAGGCCACCTTCAAAAAGTCAAAATTTTATAGTTGATTTATCGACCAATTAAGTGGGTATTAGCTGGAGGACATCCGTCCAATAGCTCCTCGCCATGATTCTGTTCGGAGCCAGAGATTGGGGCCGAACAGCGCCGCCGATGTGTGGAGGTGCAGTGTTCCTCAGATTGAGTTGTACTGCGAGTGCAATAAGCAAAACAGGTCAAAGATGACTCCGGTGTCTTCGGTCGGAATTCACAGAGACTCAAACATGTTCAGAAGGCAGGCAATGAAGTAGAGTGTTGTTGAGACGGTACGGTAGGTTTTGTACTCAAAACGACGGCAGTCACAAATCACTGCTAACAGTCGCCACATGTAAGTACTAACATAAACGTCCTGCGGCGCGCACGCCTATCACACACCATGACACTGAGGAAAGCGGATGTGACTCGGCGGACCGAGCTATCAGAAAACTGGGATGTGGTGTGGAGCTAATGCAGCCCCGTCTCTGTCCCGACTATTACAAACCGAGAACACGGCTACGGATGCCACTATCTGAATCCGGTGGCAATGGTTCAGCGACGCTCAGTGCCGACTTTGGCAGTGAGGAGCCGGCCGGCCGGCCGTCTGTCCCGGCCCCAGGGCGGAGTGACCCGCAACTCGAGAGAGTCACTAACTACTGACTCCACGCCTCGAGGCGGAGCGACCCCGTGCACCGAGCCAGGACGGCCAGGCCCGCCCTGTGCCCGTGGCAATGGGCGGGACCTCGCCTCCGATGGCCACAGCCCTGTCTCGGGCCAGGCCACTGCTGCTGCTTCTTCTGATATTCGCCTGGACGGGTATGTGAGTCTGAAAGTAGGGCTGATAATTGCTCAGATGAATCGGGATGAATATGCACTTTGCAGCGCATGAAACACGTGTGCTATCGGTTTAAAACATAAATGCATTCTTTCTTTTTCCTTTTCCAAGGACTTTTCTCTTTTTATTAACTGCTTGGTTATACCATTCAAATATTTTTGGGTAGTTTCATAGTCACAGGATGAGAGGATAAGGGATACTTTGTGCGGATGTAATCAGCGGCTGGTGATCCACCGGACAGCGCTATGCTAAAGCTTTGATATAGCTTATATACTATCACGGCTTCGACTCCGAGTGAAATAAAAATGTTTCGGCTTCTCCAGCATGCAGTGTAAAATGCTTCAGATTCCAGCTCCGCCTCGGCATAGACTCGCTCTAATTTGAAAATAGTGAAACAATAACAATGCAAGCGCCAATACGGCTATCGCGGGTCGGAAACTGTTCCTTGTAAACCAACAAATGGCCGGAACCGAAGCAATAGAAAGTGAAAGACAACGCTCAAAATGTCATCGGTTCACGATATATTTCGGTGTGTTACCCCATTTTGATAATCTGAGATGGCTGTTTCATCGTCCTTGTTTAATCTGTATCATTTTCATGCAAAATAATTTGTTTGAGTTAAAATACTGGGCTCTTAACCCGCGCACCGACGGGGGAGGGGAGGGGGAGGGGCGGTCAAGTCAACCACCCCCTGAGGTTTTTCAAGAATAGCGGAAAAACCGCGTCACCACATGCCGCGAAATTTTGACTGCTTATTCTCTTATTAATTTTACACATGGTGTGCAAGTTTCAACCTCCTATCGTTCAAGGTCAGGTCACCAGGTCACTTCGAATGGCCCAGCCTCAAACCTTTTTTTTTGCAATTTTGTCGCCATGTCAGGGCTACATTAGATGATGGAGGCTTTTGAAAGTCGCAGGATGTAATGAGGTAATTAGTAGCTACAATTAGTATATCTCGGAATTTTGATATCGATGACCTAAGGTCAGGTCAATTTCTTGACCTCCCCATTTATATGTCAGTGGGGGAAAATCAATCCCCTGATTTTCCACTAAAACGCGTCGGAATGGCCCAAAATACCATAAATGACTTCAGATACGATCAACCTTGACTACCTTGAGGCCTGTTTTGCTATTGAGCGACTGTAAGGTCATGTGACGTCATCAAAGGTCACCAAAGTTTTTTGCTAATAACTCCTTACAAGAACGAGAAACAGCCACGCGGATGGTCTCATTATGTTCATCATAGCCCAAGACAGTGTGTTCATCTCGTCAAGGCGCATCGAATGATATACATGATGACCTTGAGGTCACGTGACCTGAGGTCAATCTTTGACCTTGACCTTTCGAGGTCAACACATACATATACCTATGTTTCGATGCGGATTGACAAGAGACTCACGACGGTGTCATTGGTTTGTTCCTAGCTTCGCTATTTCGAAAGTTATTCGAGAAAAACTCTCCTCATATCTAGCGCCGCCTTTTGACTTTTTGACCCCTGTGACGTCATCTTTGACCTGATCTGAAAATGACCTCAGTAAAAATTTACTGATCGTCGCTATCTTGCTTCGTTCTCGATATCTCAGGGGAGGGGGTGGTTAACCACCCCTCACGTCGGTTCTAAGTTGGCGCGCACCCCCGTCGGTGCGCGGTTAAGGGCGATTGCGGTAATGCCATGCTTTGCATCAAAATCGGCGGAACGTGACGTTACTCTGACGTAATTTCCTAGCGACCTTTAGTAGCTAAAGTGATGATGAAATAGCCTTTGCTCATACTCAATCAAAGATGACGAAAAACAAAATATATATAAAGAGACTGGACTATGTATATAAAGAGACTAAACAGTTTCTTTATATATATTTTGTTTTTCGTCATTTTTTGATTAAGTATGAGCAAAGGGTATTTCATCATCACTACAACTATAATACTAATAATGCTCATCACAGCCATCAATCACATATGTTCTTTAGTAGCTACCGTAAAGTGGGGCTATTTGCAGGGGCGTAGCCAAGGGGGGGCCCATAGGGGCCATGGCCCCCCCCCCCTGGAGCCCAAAAGGGCCCCCATCGCGGTGTCATAAGTACGGTTTTTTTCATTTTTTAAATATATTTTTTTAATTTATTTGGGCCCCCTCCAAAAAATAGTGGATGAAATCCGATGACTTTTTGGATTTTGAGGGGGTTTACCTTGGGCCCCTGTAAGTTTGGCCCCCTCCTGGAGGAAATCCTGGCTACGCCCCTGGCTATTTGAAACGGATTTCACAGTTTTTTTGCCTCTCCCTTCAAAACGGTTGATATCTCTTATAGCACGTAAATTGCAAAAACTTAGTTCTCCGTAACCGCTTTCAGATAGGTCCAGTTTAATTCAGTTAGTAACAACAAATAATGCTATATTTCTAATTGAAGCCTAAATAATAAAAATCGGTTTAAAATAGTCCCATAGTGTGAGACTATTTGAGCCAGTTTTAGTTGCAAGGAAGCAGAAGAAAATCGATCAAGCTAGGGATAATTCTTTTAACCCGGAAGTTGCTGGGGGTATTTCGCCACCCACCGTTTGCTGGGGGGGGGGGGGGGGCGTTAAACGCCCCCAGCCGATAACTCGAGAACCAATAGGCGCAGCGAAACGCACGAGGCGGCAAACGAAAGAACGCGACAAGACGCTTCAGATGAGTACTTTAAAGTTGAATTTTGAGGTCACAGGTGGGGTCAAGGTCAGGTCAAACACCTGAAATCGGGCTTTCAGTAGCATGGACTTCAGGACTTCGCAATTGGCGCCTCTTGTCATAAACTCTGTCAAAACGGTGCACAATCCATCATATAAGGCCTACAAGAGTGTCAGCTCCATGTAGAGGTCAGTCAAGCATTGGTCAGGGTCAAGGTCAGGTCAACCGGGTAGGCAAATATCCCCGAAAATCAAAACTGATATTCGCAGCCTGTGACACATGTTTTATGGGTAATTTGGGGCGTAGAACACGATGGTGACATTCATTTTATCATATGTGTACGTGTTTGGCTCAAAAAGTTAAATTTAAAAAATGCATGTATCATAGTGGTGAAGTAGTCACGAGAAATTGCCGAGATTCAGTTCAAGATTTTGGAACGATAATCAATAATCGAAGATAGCCATTTGATTGTTCATGGTATTGGCAGTCTAATGGCGTTTACGGCATGTCTGTATGTCTATTCTGTGATTTTATATGATTTTTTGAACATATGCCGTTTTCGGTCGAAAACTCAGAAATCATGACGTCACTAAAACCTCGATATCTCAAAAATTTTCCGATCAATTTTTTTTGAAACTTTGTCACAATAAACTCCAATCAATTCTCTACAGGTACCCAAAATTTGGCGCGCCTGCGGCGCGCCGTTTTTATGCTATGGCCCGGCGAAAAAAGTGGGGGCGTTTAACGCCCCCCCCCCAGCAAATCGCGGGTTAACCCTCGCCGGCAACCCCATCACCCGGAGGTTGATGCAACCCCCTAAGGGTTTTCACCAATAACTCACGTAAAAAGCGGCTGATTGCGACAAAGCTTTCAGTACCCTCGCATTGCTCAATTGTACACCTTTCCTGGATATTTCATGACCCTCACTCAAATGGCCTTTGACCTGTGACCTATTTTCCGAGACCATGTTTGGCCGGAATCGCGATTCGGCGTATGTCGGTTTGCCTTAGCCGCGCGTTTGCAAACTTTTCGTGGTTTCAAACGTTCAAGCATGCGGTATGATGTTGTTGTTGCTCCCATGCATTAGGGTGGGTGTCAAGGTCACCTGAAGGTCAGGTCAGGTCATTGACCTTTGATGACCTCGGCTCACTTTTTCGAGTTGTACATGTTTCTAGGCTAGTTTTTGGAGCTGAATTCGATTTTTGCAACCATTTGAACATTTACTTTGAACATTTACTTTACTTATGTCTTCATGAAAAATGTGCTTAGCCCAAAAGCAAAACAATAGTTACGATAGATGCAGTTGCAAAGTTTTTTTAACTTCAACCATGTTGAGCTGCAGGTAGGGCTGTTTTTGTATAACTTAACTTGTGTTTTTCTGTATTTCTCGTTCAATGTCAATTTTTTTTTTCTCAAAACTTTTCAACATTTTCAAAAAAAAAAAACTGTCCATGGATTGCATCGTTAAATTCAACATCACCGGTTTTAATTTTACAGCAACTTTACTAAACCACTACCGTAGGTACTGCCTCAAATAGCCCCACTTTACGGTACGCAATTTTCCTTTAGACTCAGGGTATTCAATTGATGTAGCCGAGGGTACTAAAAGTTACGCGTCTATACGTTTTTCAGTTTTAAAGATACGTATGATATGGAATAACGCTGTCTTTTGAATGTGTATCTTGAAATGGGAGGGAGGCTCTGCAGAGTCCCCACTCTCAGACATGCCCGGATCAACAAATGCAACCAATGACCAGCCAATACGAAGCAGAGTAAGTTTATTCAGCGCTTGGTTGAAACAAGACAGATCTACTTATATAAATCTCAACTGTCGTGCTAGCAGCCTGTACAGTAGGTATACCAGAGAGCATTGTGCAATAAAATTGCAGCCACTGTTTACTGTCAAACGCAAAACAAAGCACATCTACATGAGACAGAACAAACAAACCACACCTAAATATAAGAGTAAGTACATGTATCGGGTCATAGTGGGCGTCGTCCGCCTTGTCGCGGCGGTCCGCGGCGCTGGGTGCGGTCACCGCCGGATGGCTATCGGTGCTCGCTGTCACCCGGCCCGGGGGATCACCCAGCACCCCCGGCCGGACGCCGACCAAGCTACGTCGCTGTGCAGTGCTGTGCGCCAAACTGCGCGGGAAGGACCACTGATACCCCACCACAGCCTCCATACCCGTCCCCGACTGCTGCAGCCGGCTGCTCCAACTAACAGGGGCAGAATGTAGTGCTCAGTTGACGTGCACAAATTTATTACAATTCGGTCCGAGTGCAACTGGTGTTATTTCTCATGCTTTGACACATCGGGCATTGCGTGTATTGTACTTACAAATTGGTGACGTACAAATATTTGTGGCATCCTGACAGTCCTGATTGCGCTTCAGGAGCACGCAAAATATCGGAACAAGGACTATCAAGCAAGCAGGCGAGCGGTCTAAAAAAACAGCAAAAGATATACATCAATATACGAAAACTCTAAATACACGGGTTTGTTCTGTCTGACAAACTATACCGAGCATGGTTAAAACTGCCCTCGTAAGAAAATTTGATTGGCATTACTAGCGTGAGGCCGGAATGACGGCTCAGTAGGGGTGGAGCGGTCTGACACTGATCATTTATTTCAGATACCGGACAATGTCAGCGGACAATAAGAATCATTCAGGACAGGTCATCATGTCAGCTGACACCTCCTGAATGGAACACAACGATCACCACCGGCACCGAAATCAGGTAATGTGCCACTCCCATCGCCCTGAGACACGGCGCCGCCGTATGACTATAACTTACTCGTACAATGGCAGCTTTGGACCAAACTATACAGTCGCTGTCACGGATCGTATGTTGACAGGGCCACATGTGACAGACAGTGCACAAGTGATGCAGTGGAAAGGAATCAAAACTCCTTGGAAAGAAGTGTTCGAGGAACATATGTCTACAGCCTGGTAAAAAAGGGATGATTGTAATATAACCGTAAGAATATATTAGCCGTTTTCACTACGGGTTGTCTGGTGAATGCACTAAACTTGACCAAATCTGCACCAAATCTCTTATAACAAATATTTTCCAGATTCAGAATTTATTTCAGCCAAGTGTTTTTTCGAAAATAACGTCTGAGAATGTAAAAAAAAAACAGGCATTTAAGAAGCTAGTACACCCCTAACCGATAACTTCTAAGAACCACAATGAACCTAATTTGACCAAATCTGCATCACATCTGCACCAAACGTGTAACAAACGTTGCAGATAGCCGTCGTAAAAACGGCTATTGATAACCAAAATGGTCTGCATATTTGCTTTTTTCGTGAAAAAAAATCATGTTGAACAAGTTTGGATGACAAGAAGATAAATGTTTCATTATCTATGTCACGACACATGCACTCAGCCGGCCCATTTGGTGAGCTCAAAAAGAAATTTGTCGTGAAAAGTTTGGATATTTTAAGTAAAAAATGTTGCCGTGAATATCGCTTGAATATTCAGGCCGAATTACAAGTAGCTCACTGTTACTACAATGGTGGTGTTTTATGTCACACTGACGTCACGAAGAAGGCGCCTTGCAAAATCGAATAATATTCATTTACAATGTTTCGCCATAAGGTAGTCTTTTGTTGTAGACTGACAGCCAAATCCATAGAGATATACAACGGTTGGTAGGACGGTGTTGGCAGTGAGTGAAACATCGCTTTTGCAATGCAATGAGAAAAACACATGCATAATATATGCATGCGACCTCCCGCACACCGGCGCATCGTCACACATGCCAGTTTACCCCTCCCCTTTCCCCCTTCCACTTTCTCTAATTTTCTCTTATTCAGTTCTCAAAACATTTTCTGATTCCTCTATAGGTACCCCTATCATTGGCAAACTCTTGACACCTCATAAGAACTTGTATCTCAGTTCGGTCTTAATGTGTGTGAGTTATGAGCGTGCACACTGCACAGTGCACACGCCGTCCCTTCCATAGAGATGTCCCTTCGTGCAATGTAGCCGGTCCAATCGGACCGGCGCTGTGGACCGACCGCTGGTCCGCTGTGATCCGCAGGACTCTGACCTGTGTCTGGCCGCGATCCACGACGCTCGCCTGGCTTACCCGTCCCGATGGAGCCAAGAGTCCGCCAGAGTCCGTCTCAGAGTACTGCGGCACCAGGGTCCGTTCGTCCCCAGCTTCCGGCGCGGCATCATCACACCACGTCCGAAAAAAGTGACCAATGAAACGACATTGGGAGTAGAGTTCACCAGCAGCAAAGTCTCCGGTGAGTCGCCGGTGTCGAGAGGCGAGGATAAAGGTAGCAAGTACTTTCTGCAGGCCCAGCAGGTCATGTAGGTAGGTTGAAAATGGACGCGAAATTGATTACATTTTCGTACTGTCTTTATAGCTTTGGCGTAGTTAATCAAAATGAAATTTTAAAATACGCGTGTCAAGCTGACACCTAGGCCACGGCGGCCTTAGCTGTGGCGTTATTAGCTGAACATCTTGATGACAAGTGCGTTTCTATGCTAACAATTGTTTGTTTTTTGTGAATAACTATTTCGTTGAATAGATGTTTTTGGTTCAGCTACTATTTTTGTTTGTTATCATTCGTTTTGTTTTAAAACGCGCCCAATGACTGCAATTTTACAACTTATTCCGACAAGGTGCCCATAAAAATTTCGCATCATAAAACGTGTACATTCGGATTGCAGCCACGCTTAATCGTCTGATATGGACATGGTCCCTCTAACTGCATTTTGATATTTGTATGCCTATTTTACGTGCTGTTTCAAAACCTTTTCGATGGCAAATGACACTTTTCGTATACCACCATCACCAGAATCTTTAATAAGCAGGTCCCAAGAAATTCTGAAAAGACAGTTTTTTTTTGTATAATATGATAGTTATCAGACTATTTTAGTAGAAAATTGTCCATAATCTGATGTTCTTTTTAGAGCCTGTTCCGGAGATAACTGTGGTCTTCGACACCTTCCGGTTCCGTGAGAGAGACCCACAGCAAACAGTACAGTGCCACGTTCCGATGTCAGTGAATTCGTCCGACTTCCAACTGTTCAGACTTACCGGGTCTGTAATAACTTCAATGGAAAAAAGGAAACATGAAAATGGTAAGTTAAAAATGTAGAAACAATGCAAACTCATCTGTCATCTCTTAGTGCCTAGCAATTAGCATGGTTGATGCCGATGGTGTCAACAAGAGTGCCGTTGTGATCAGCGCTGTATAATTTATATGTGTTTGTCATGTACGGGTGTCCCAAAAGTTTCTTTACACCTATTTTTTATATTATTGGTCACTTTTAGAACAGAGAGAAACATGATATTGCTGTTGGCATGATGCTTAGTATGTCTCGAATAAGAGGGAACCCCTTTCACCGCGTCAGGCTATCTCAGAGATGGCACAGGGTTATCAATCCCGCACCCGCGCCCTGATGGGGGCCATTTTAGCCCCCTCCTGTGGTTTTTCTTAAATAGCGAGAAAACGGCGGCGCACAGCGCCGCCAAAAACCTTACCGGGCATCAATTTGACACCTTCACACAAAATTTCAAGTCACAGGTCACCTCGCGGGTCAGGAGTTATTGAAATCAAACTGAGGTCATGTTCGAGTAAAAATGAGCAAAAAACATGACATCTTGAAACGCTCACCAATTCTACAGTTAACAAGCAATTTTAAAGTTCTTTATGTGGTGGTGTAAAAAAAAGACGGCGCTACGAAATTGTTATCTCGGATTTTCGAAATTTTGGGATTTCAACCTCCCAAAAAAAATGATTTGTTTTTAGAAAAACTCCAAAAATTTCCATTTTTTTTCGAATTTCGAAAAAACCGGAATACATGTGATAGTCCCTGCGCTCTTCGATATACATACCAAATTTTAGATCGATACCTCTTTTTTTTGGCTATGTTATAGCGAAAAAACTGTTAAAAATTGATGATGTCAAACTTTTGAACTCGATTTTTAGCAATTCTAGACCATGTCGCGCAAAACGGAGACCACCATTGAATTACCCGTGACGAGCTGCATCGAATCAATATCCATTTTATGCAAAAATATCAACTTTAAAATTTGACCTTATTTGACCTGACCTTGACCTGAGCTTCGCCAAAACATAATCTCAACTGACCCCAAGGGCTGCCTGTCCCACATAATCACATTTGGCATATAAAATGGACCATAAAACATGCATCACATGATATTTTTAATTTGTGACCCTCAGTGACCTGACCTCTGTGACCTGATCTGGTATCAGTGACCTCAAGTAGCAAAATATGTGTTTGAAAAACGTTTCCGCATCGATGATTTTCAATGAAATGCATTTCACTCGATCTTACAACGCATTTCTTGAAATGCCTGTAAACGGTGAAATTTCGACCTTTGACCTGATCTGTGACGTCATCGGTTTGACCGGGGTCAATGAAATTGGAAGTGACCCAATTTCATTGACATGGTAGTTCCCCGTTGAGGCTATCCAACGCTGTTTGCCGCTTGTCGCTATGTTGCGTGGTTCTCGAGATCTTAGGGGGGGGGGGGGCAAAATGCCCCCCCCCCATCAGACCGCGTTGCTCGGCAGACCCCATCAGGGCGCGGGTTAATCGTAGCATGAAGGTACCGAGGAAGGTCACAATAGGAGAAGTATGCTGACTACTTCTAGTTTGGTCAATTGAGGGTGGTAAGGGACAGAGGCTAGTTGCAAAGACGTTTGATGTAAGTACATACTCCAAATCACGGTTAGTATTGGTGGAAACGACATTCTTGCACAATTAAACTTGAAAAGAAAATGTCGGTCCGGCCGGCCATCTGTGGTTGTAAATATCGTGAAAGTCGTTTCTTCGGAGGCTAAAGGCAAGCGGGGCTGCATTGTGCAAAAGTTTACAATGCGACTATCAGGGAAGGGATCACAAGTTTGCAGGCTATATGCATACAGGTTTTTATTATATTAATTGATTTTGGAACCAAACATATCGTCGCGTTTTTATCCCAAACCCCACATCTATCTCCCGTGAATTTCCCACAAGTTGGATAGAAACTTTCAAAAAAGTTACAGTTACTTAGTTTTTCTCAAAATTGTCTGTCGTGACAGATCAAGAATGCCAGAACAAGCTTTCGAACGCACATAATTAATGAGAATCGGACGATTGGAAACTTTTTAAAGGGGATCTTTTGTGGTTCCCGGAAATTCACGGTCGAGAACAGATGTGGGACTTGGAAAAAAACGTATCCATATGGCTCCATGAAAAAAAAAAAACAGAACATCACCAGCATTTGCAGATTGCAGGCCCTGCAAAATAGAGTAAAAGTGGACTTCTTACGAATAAAAATGGGTAATTTGGAATAATGATTCAGCATTGAAATATCACCATTAAACCTCGCCGGCACAGAAGGGTGGAGTTGATGCAACCCCCTAAGGTTTTTCGCAAATAACTCGCGTAAAAGCGGTTGATCGCAACGAAACTTTCAGTACCCTCGCGTTGATCAATTTTACACTAACCCTGAAAATTTCATGACCCTGACCCAAAAGACCTTTGACATGTGACCTATTTTCCGAGACCATGTTTGGCCAGAATCGCGATTCGGCTTATGTCGGCTCGCATTTGCCGCGCGTTTGCATTCGTTTCGTGGTTTTGGGCGTTCAACTATGTATGCGATTCGATGTTACTTCCATGTATAAGGGTGGATTTCAAGGACCCCTGAAGGTCAGGTCAGGTCATTGACTTTTGATGACCCCTGTCCACGTTTTCGAGTTTTACATGTTTCCAGGCTAGTTTTTGGAGCTGCATTCGAATTTAGCAGCCATTTCAACATTAACGAAGTAGTTTTGGTGCCTTTGTAACATGTTACGAAGCTGTCAGAGGCGGTTGACACGTACTACGAATACCCGGCAGGACCCCTACTGGTTAACCTGACCTGACTTGACCTGACCTGGCCTAAATGAATAAAGACATCATCTGTGATCAAAACTAACATGATATGCGTGATCAGCACCCCGAAAACCCATAGCAGACACATTTTACGACGTTCTATAAACAGGTCCCGAGTTTCCCGACTTGTGGGTCATTGACCTGACCTTAAAGGTCAACTGATGACCTAGGACCCTAAAATCGGGTATCATCCGCTTCCTCTTGTCACGGGTAGCACGCTCTTTTTCTGCGAAGCTCAAGCTCGATCAGGGAATAAACGCGAGGGGGTGTTCGTACCTTGTGCCGTCGAGGGACGCAAAATGGCCTGTGCCGGCAGGGATTATACAGGGTGCGCAAAAAGTTCTGGCCCATTTCTGTACTTCGATAAACGAATGCAATCGGAGTGAATATTATCAACGCTAACACCAAATATTGGGTTGCATTATCAAACCAGATACGTTCACTCACCTCATGCGCGATATAACCCCCTTATCGGCAATGACCTTCTCCACACGTAGGCGGAAAGACTTGCATGTCTTGATGATGTAGGTGGGGTCCTTCGTCTCCCACATCTTCACGATGTGTGCCTTCAGGGCCTCCAAATTAGGATGGGACACTCCCTGGACCTCATCCTGCAAAACGCTTTAGATGCTTTAGTCAAGGGGTTCAGGTCGGGTGACTGAGGGGGCAATATGTCATTAAGCCAACAATGGGCTTCTCCCCCGAGCTCCTCCGTTTGCTTGTGCTGGATGAAACTTGCGTTGTTTGCGGGTGTAGTATCCTGCTGGAAAACAAAATCGACTTTCGGATACGTCTTCAGGATCCATGGGATGACGTCACTGTCAAGCAGACGCTCATACATCGTCCCATTTATCTTCTAATTGGCGTTAATGAAGACGGTTGGGCACTTTTTGCCGCCCGAGCCGTGGGCTGTCCTGGATTGCCTGAGACACGCCAGTCACATTCTCAGAGTTTTGACTGGACGTGACCGGTCTGACCCGGGGGCATCCTCCAGGACCTCCCCTATTCGTATTTGGCTTTGATACGCGTAATTGTTCGCAGGGGGCTCCAAATTTCATCGCAACCTGCTCAACAGTCATGCCAAAGTCGGCCGCGCCGCGCGCGGGTATCCAACGACAATGTAACGTTTAGCCTGCCTCCATGATTGGCCGTTAATGGTCTGCTTTGTTCGACATCTGGCTGTGTAGCAGAATCATTGAAGATATTGCGTGCAGCCGAAAAGCAACCGTAGCACGCGTAGGAGCGCTTACTGTAAGAGGGCCAGAACTTTTTGCGCACCCTGTACTTACTGCTAATTGTTCAGTATTGTTAGACACATTTATTAAGTCTGATGGCCAATAGTTGCAAAGCAAAATGATAATTAAAATGATAATTAAAAATATATTTTAATTATCATTTTGGTTTGCGACTATTGGCCATCAGACTTTATAAACTTACTGCTAAGTTCAATGGTTATTAGATCAACTAGCGCGACTAAATGTCCTCCGTCCACGCAGTAAGGAGCTGAGCAATGGTGAATGGTAATGGTCTGGGGCGCAATTTACGCTGATGCGTTGGCAGAATTTCATAGCATGCCAGTAAAACAGGTTGTGAAGGCCCAAAAGAGCGTCTCTCAAGTACTGTGAAGGTCACATATTGCAGCGGTTAACCGTTTCCCAGAAAACATGCGTATCACCGAGAAAAAAAAATGTTTGAAAGCAGGTCAGAAAGGTCAGAATGCAGGTATATAGCAGGTCAGAAAGCAGGTATTTGGCAGCACTAGGCGTCATCAGGCACGGGCCAAAACGTGCCCAAAGCTGGCACAAACACCACCCACTTTCCTGGCTAATAGGACGAAGAGACATGGTTTAAGGACTTATCCTATTAACCCTCGCCCGCACATGCCATTTTCCCATCCTAGAACGCACATGGGGGGGGGGGTGGTTGCCATCCCCCCCGCGCCATTTCGTTCCTGTTGGAGATAGAGCTTAGCGGTAAAGACCAAAAAGATTCTTTGGGAAGAGACGAATCCAATGATACCCAGTTTTACCTTCTCAGGTCAGTCATTGACCTTCCAGGTCAGGTCAAACTAAAAAATGTTGCTGTTTTTGGTCACCGTTGGATATCAAGTGCGCTGCTTATCAAATACCGATGACGATGCTGTTTTCTGGTGCCAAGCCAGCTAGAACCTCTTTGTCACACTACCCGACCAGAATTTTGCTGCTGAGGTCATTTCAGGTCAAGTTAGGTCAAGGTCAATTATATGTGTTTGTATGTCTGTGTGTGTCTGTGTGTATACTGATGTGTGCACCGATGGTTTTTGGGTCCATATTACATGAAATCATGATCTGAGAAGCTTTTACCAAAAATGCAATCAAAAAACTTCACAAAAAGTAAATTTGGCTTGCCTAAAACGCAAATTACTTAGATGACCTAGGTTGACCTTGACCCTGACCTTGACCCCTGTACATCGTCGAACAACATGTTCCATGATAGGTGGGAGGTAAGACTGGCAAAAAAGGCCGAAATCAGGGTGTCAAAAGCTCACAAGGCCCATGGCAAACGCAAGATGTTGAGAATTGGCCATTTGGGTCATGACATGACCTCAAAAACAAGGTCATATCTCCGAAACCAAAAATCACAGAAACTTGAAATTTTCAGTGGACATCAAGAAAGGATAGAGGAGCAGCTATACGAAAAATCAGCCTTCTAGCTCTAAAAATGTTGAGTGCAGAGCAGAAAGACTACCTGGGGGGGTGGCAACCACCCCCCCCCCATGTGCGGGCGAGGGTTAAAATACATAACAAATGTACGGTTTATCTTGTAGCCTGCACGACCCGAATGATCTGGGAACCGGCGGCCAGCCTGGTTGAGCTTGCTGTTCGGCTAAAATTGAATCGTCGAGCATGTTTGTTAACCCGCGCCCCGTTGGGGTCCGCCGAGCAACTGTTGGGGGGGGGGGGCAATTCCCCCCCTAAGATCTCGAGAACCACGCAACATAGCGACAAGCGGCAAACGGCGTTGGATAGCCCCAACAGGGGACTACCCCATTTCAACCCGCGCACCGACGGGGGTCTGCGCCAACTTAGAACCGACGGGGGGGGGGGGGGCGGATGACCGCACCCCCTGAGATCTCGAGAACGAAGCAAGATAGCGACAAGCGGTAAACGGCATGGGGTACGCACGGACAAGGTCTACAATTTTTGTTGAGGTCATTTTCGAGTCAGGTCAAATATGACGTCACAGGACTCAGGAGTCAAAAAAGTCAAAATGGCGGCGCTAGATATGGAGAGAGTATTTTTCGAACAGCTTTCGAATTAGTCAAGATAGGAACAAACTAAGGACATCATCGTGATCCTCTTGTCAATCCGCATCAAATGATATATATGTTGACCTCGAAAGGTCAAGGTCAAAGGTTGACCTCAGGTTACGTGACCTCGAGGTCATCATGGATATCATTCGATGCGCCGTGACGAGCTGAGCACAATGAGACCATCCGCGCGGCTGTATCTTGTTACTGTACGAAGTTATTGGCAAAAACCCTTTGGTGACCTTTGATATGACGTCACATGACCTTACAGCTGCCCAACAGCAAAAAAGACCTCAAGGTAGTGAAGGTTGATTGTATATGAAGTCATGTATATGGGCCATTCCGCCCGTTGTAGTGGTACAAACAGGAGTTGATTTATGGGGAGGTCGAGAAATTGACCTGACCTTAGGTCATCGATATCAAAATTCCGAGATAAAAATTTTTTAGCTACTAATGACCTAATGACATCCTGAGACTTCCAAAGGCCTCCGACATCTACTGTAGCTCTGGCACGGTGACAAAGTTGCAAAAAAGTGACTTGAGGTTGGGTCATTCAAAGTAACCTGGTGACCTGACCTTAAAAGTTAAGAGGTTCAAACTTGCACACCCTGTGTAAAATTGATGAGAGAATAGTTGTATTAAAATTTGCGGCGCTACGCGCCGCGGTTTTCCCGCTATTTGTGAAAAACTCAGGAGGGGGGGGGGGGGGCGGATAACCGCCCCCCGGCGGTGCGTGGGTCAAGAAATGCGTTGTAAAATCGAGTAAAATGCATTTCATTGAAAATCATCGATGGAAAAATGTTCGTCAAACACATATTTTATTATTTGAGGTCACTGATACCAGATCAGGTCCCAGAGGTCAGGTCACTGCAGGGGTCACAATATGAAAATATCATGTAATGCATGTTTTATGGTCCAGTTTATATGCCTAATGCGATTATGTGGGTCAGGCAGCCTTTGGGGTCAGTTAAACCAATGTTCTGGTGAAGGTCAGGTCAAGGTCAGGTCAAGGTCAGGTCAAGGGCAGGTCAAATTAGACCAAATTTCAAAGTTGATAGTTTTGCATAAAATGGGTATTGATGCGATGCAGCTCGTCACGGGGAGTTCAATAATGGTCTTTGTTTTGCGCTACGTGGTCTAGAATTGCTAAAAATTGAGTTCAAAAATTTGACGTAATTAATTTTGAACAGTATTTTCGCTATAACTTGGCCAAAAAAGGAGGTATCGATCTAAAATTTGGTATGTATATAGAAAATTGCAGGAGCTTTCATATATATTCCGTTTTTCGAAATTCGGGAAAATGTTGGGATTTTTTGCGTTTTTCTAAAAAAAAAATCAAGTTTTTTATTTTGTGGGGTCAAAATCCCGATATTTGGAAAATCCGAGATAGCAGTTTTTTAGCGCCACTTTTTTGTCCACATGAACATATAAAGAACTTTGAAATTGCTTGGTAACAGTAGCTTTTGTAAGCGTTTCAAGATTTCATGTTTTTGCTCATTTTTGCTCGAGCATGACCTCAGTTTGACCTCAATAACTCCTGACCTAAGGTGACATATGACTTGAAATTTTAGGTGAGGGTGTCAAATTGATGCCCGGGAAGGTACATTCAGGAAAAACCAGGGGGGAATCGCCCCCCCCCCCCCTAGCGGGGCGAGAGTTAATTGGCTGTATTTTTATTATTATCATCATCTTTTTTGAAAACATACTTTCGTGTTTCATGGTATATGCTAAATTGAACGGTGCTTCTTGTGAGGTGTGGACACCAGTACACTTATACTGATTTTATTGGACATAAAAGAGTGAAAAAAATCTTTGGGGCACCCTGTAGATTCAATTTTCTTGCATCCCTTCATGGTTCATGTTCTGTTCAAGCACTGAGTTCCTTGGTGTACTTTTGAAAGTTAGAGATGTGTGTGTCGATAGAATCTCAAAGCAGTTTTCGAGAGGCTCCGGTGACATCCGGCCTCAGGGTGCTATGCTCCATACAAGATAAACTCTACTCGGATGTAACCGCTTTCAGCTACATTCAGAACCGTAAGTATCACTAAGCCAAGTTGAAAGCTACTGCTAATAGACGCATGACCGACATTTCAACGTTTTAAATATTTTTTTCGCTCAGCCAGTTATAGGTTTCTAAATGTTTTCCTGTTATGTTGGGCTAGTTAAAAACTTATGCCTAATGCTACCGCGCTGGGTGGGAATTTAAGCAAATAATGGGCTTAGTTTTCCACGTGGAGCATTGAGATTTTTGGAGCTATAAGAGGTCAACAACTTAAGCCGTCGGGTTGACAGAGGCTCAAAGCCAAAAGCTTCAGATTCTTGTGATGAGACTTTTAGATCTATCTTCTTAGCAAAAGCGAGAATAGAGGCATTTCTTCTATTATTTTCTATTGTTTCTTAAAACAGTGCTGACACCTACATATTTAAGACTGAAAACATACTTATTTCAGCCTTCTACTTGCCTACTCGTCTCACGTATCGTGCCAGTCGTGGTGACGGAATGGATATCAGAGTGGACTCCACAGTAATTTCAAACGTCGTTTGGTATAAGGACGGAAGGTAAGTAAATAATTAGTCGTGCTCCTGTTCCTTTGTGTTTTATGCATAACTTTTTTCATTTCGCTTCAGTCACCAGGTACTATCTATTCTATGCGTTGCCTGAAACAGTTCAGCTGAAAATAGCCAGTCCCGTAGCTTAGTTGGTAGAGCGTTGGACTCCGCGTGGTGAGAGCGCGCGTTCCCGGTTAAAAGAGTCCGGGTTCGAAGCGCGACGGGCGCTTGACATTTATGGGCCTCCTGACAGGTATGGTTGCGGTTGGTGGCAGGCTGTAGCCAGGCGAAGTCAGTGAGGGGACCGGCCATGCGCAGCTATGTGCGTACGTTAAACTTTGGACTCTAAATTCTGCCATAGAACTGGAATTGCGCATCGGAGGGTAGAGGGCAGGGTCACCGCAACAAGCTTCGCGTAGCGGTGGCGCTGCCCTTGTGAATCCTTCCCATCAAAAGGTTCGGACTAAATTTATAAAAGATAAGGCCTAACTTTTGCCTGTTTTGTTATGCCAGGTGTTTTCTCTATTATTTTGCAAGTTGTGTTTTATATTTACTTACTAACCCAAAGGCTATCCTGGAGGGTGGTGTCGCTATTGTAGATTAACCCGCGCCCTGATGGGGTCTGCCGAGCAACGCGGTCTGATGGGGGGGGGGGGCATTTTGGCCCCCCCCCCTAAGATCTCGAGAACCACGCAACATAGCGACAAGCGGCAAACGGCGTTGGATAGCCCCAATGGGGAACTGCCTTGTGACCAAATTTCATTGACCTCGGTCAAACCGATGACGTCACAGGTCAGGTCAAAGGTCGAATTTTCACCGTTTACAGACACTTCAAGAAATGCGTTGTAAAATCGAGTAAAATGCATGTCATTGAAAATCATCGATAGGGAATTGTCCATAAAACACATATTTTGCTATCTGAGGTCACTGATACCAGGTCAGGTCACAGACGTCAGGTCACTGAGGGTCAAAATATGAAAATATCTTGTGATGCATGTTTTATGGTCCATTTTACATGACAAATTCGATTATGTGGGTCAGGCAGCCTTTAGGGCCAGTTAAGGTTATGTTCTGGTGAAGGTCAGGTCAAGGTCAGGTCAAATAAGGTCAAATTTTAAACTTGATATTTTTGCATAAAATTGGTATCGATTCGATGCAGCTCGTCACGGGGAGTCTAATGGTGGTCTTTGTTTTGCGCTACGTAGTCCAGAATTGAATTAGAAGAGCAAAGGGACTATCATATATATTCCGGTTTTTTCGAAACTCTAAAATTTTTTGAAAAATTTTTGAGTTTTTCTAAAAAAAATCAATTTTTTCAATTTTTGGGGGTCAAAATCCCAAAATTTTGAAAATCCGAGATAGCAGTTTTGTAGCGCCGTCTTTTCTCTGCACGACCACATAAAGAACTTTAAAATTGCTTGTAAACTGTAGATTTTGGTGAGCGTTTCAAGATGTCATGTTTTTTGCTCATTTTTGCTCGAACATGACCTCAGTTGGACCTCAATAACTCCTGACCCAAGGTGACCTGTGACTTGAAATTTTGTGTGAAGGTGTCAAATTGATGCCCGGGAAGGTACTGAAAATTTGGCGGCGCTGCGCGCTGCTGTTTTCTCGCTATTCAAGAAAAACCACAGGGGGGGGGCTAAAATGGCCCCCCCATCAGGGCGCGGGTTACAAATGTCTTGCATCATACGTTGCTGTATCTACTTGTCCCCAGCCGAACCCAAAGGATCACCCAGAAGTCACGCAGCCCCGGCAGCTACATGATTGAGAACGCCGAACCAGCAGACTCTGGAGTTTATGAAGCGCGGAATGGAGGATCCGATATCGGCAGATCTTCGTTCTCCGTTATTGTGAGAGGTAAGCACTGCCATAGGCGGCGGAACGGGGAGGGTACCGGGGCACCGTGCCCCCCTTTGATTTTGGCATTTTAACATAAGCCCTATGGGCGTTGCATGGAAAGAATGGGACCAAAAGTCGGCAGTGCCCCCCCCCCCTTAATTGAAGGTGTTCCACCGCTACTGAGCACTGCGTGTGTGCGCTGTTGAATGCATGATCTAAACTCAACTATTGTATGTCCAGCCAACAATCTCAACTAAAAATGGTTGATGCACCTTCCCCTTATATTTATTGAGTCTTTTGAATAAGATGCAGGCTTGGTCCCCTCGACCCCCTTGAGCACACCAGACTCAAAATTCGTAGCTGATTTTTTCTTTAGTCATCTGTGAAAAAACAGCGAGATTTTTGCCCTCTCCCAAATGGTTGCGTGTTGATGGTCTCTGAAAACGCACATGTTAGAAACGTCATGAGAACCACGGATGCGTCCACTTTGGAACTGAGTTGGGTCCTGCGGCGGTCACACTCGGGGAATGTTTGCCTGCAGGCTGCCCGGCGGGCCGGTTTGGGCCCGAATGTCGGGACCGCTGTCCCTACTGTCTTCACGGCGGCCAGTGCCACGACGTGACCGGTCAGTGCGTCTGCCCGCCCGGCTTCTACGGCGACCGCTGCCAGATCAGTGAGTTTCGCACTCTCAGTGACACGACCCAGGTCAACCGGACGAAACGGCACTGGTAGTATTGATCTAATAGAGAATAGGGAAATATCAATAACCTTAATTTTACACGAATTCAATTGCGTTGCAACCCTAAAACAACGTTTACGAATCTACTTACTTTGTGAATGCACTTAAAAAAGAATGTCAGTCAATAACCAGACTTGACAGCGCCTTAGCAATTGTTGGAATATGCAAGGGCTTCCAAGAATTGCATTCGGAAGCTTTCTATTTCTGAATTGAAAGCATCAGTTTTTTTTTCTCTCAACATGAGACGTCGCGCTGAACCCCGAGGAGTCTTGATAGTGTTCTTCACCTTCAGGCTGTGACAGAGGCCGGTTCGGGGACAGCTGTTCGTCGCTGTGCTTCGGGTCGGATGGTGGCTGCAGCAAACAACTGCTGTGTGTGCCAGAGCCATACGGCTGCGGGTGCGCGGCCGGCTACAAGGATACCTTCTGTAGCAAGCGTGAGCGATTTGAGACACATGAGCACATAACACACCAACAGTTTAGATGCAATGCACTAGGTAAAGTTCAAAGAGTTAATGTTTTTCGTTTTCCTTTCTAGTTGTCTGGTACTACGTGCACATTTTGACCGTTCCAACATTTATCTGTAAAGTAATGTATAGACAAATAGATATATATTGAGTAGAAAAAAACGTACAGCACATGGGTGCACATGTGCTGTATGTTTTTTTTTCTACTTAATATATATCTATTTATCTGTAAGACGGTTGGACCGTTTGCGTTCAACGCTGATTTCAGGTTACCCATTAAATTAGTCTGGGGGAGGGGGAGAGTGATTAGGGCCAAAACTTACACTAAGTGCACGTGCAGAGTCCAAATTAAGTGACTATCCCACCTTACCATTAGTTTGGGGTCCCTGGCCTGCAATTACCAGCTTGGGCACTCACAACAGCGAGAAATGTTTTAATCCGGTGATATTTACTGTCAAAGTATGCAGTTTTCGGATCCTAAAGAACTAATGCATTTGAATACCCCTTAGACTTTGAGAATTCCTTGCAGTTGTGGCGATTTTTAAATCTTATACTTAAAACTTGGTATGCTGTGGTGCGGCCTTGCGCGCAACATCTGTCGCACTTTTAATATACCAAATTATTGCTTCCAAATGACGTCGGAACAGCGGAGGCCCCGAAAATTTTACAAAAAATAAAAGTCTAATATCTAAAAAAAAAACAGTGAATATTTTTCGTTTAAATTAGGTAGCTATTCATTTTGCTCTTTCTGAACCGCGGTACATCACTTTAACCCGCGCCGGGCTGGTGCTCTGAGATTCCGCGCCGGGCCGGGGGGGGGGGGTGTCTGAACACCCCCCTTCTAACTCGGCTCCTGGGCCACGTAGCGACACGCGGTAAGCGGCAATCGAAAGAACGTCTAAAATAAGGACGAAAACACTCCTGTTATTTTTTGGGTGAGGTCAAAGGTCAGGTCACCAGAGGTAAAATGTTGACTTTTTCAACATTTTGGAAACTGCCTACGGCTATCTCGGGAACCGATAGAGCTACAGCGCTGCAGAAAAGCGCATTCGATAGCCCTTTTACAGAACTTTCTGAGTAATGTTCACAGATTTGACCTCAGGTCAACGGTTTAGCCTCCAGAGGGCAATAACTCCAAAAATAGCCGTTTTTACGAAAAACGTTTTTTCGGCAATAACTTTTGACTCAAAAGAGCCATGACATTACTTTTGCCAGCATCGTGTTCCTCTCGTCGAGACGCGTCGTATGAAATATAATTTGACCTTGAAAGGTCAACTTGAAAATTTGACTTCAGGTCAAGGTCATGACATGACCGGAAAAGGTCATGTTGCATATCAGTTGATCCGCATCGTCGAGCCGAATACATCTAAGACGTTTTTATCGCTCTAGCATGCCTCTATTAGAAGTTATTAGTGAAAAACTGTTAGATACTATTCGTGACCTGAGATGACCTCGGGGACATAACGAGGGGTTACAGTTGCCAGTTTCCGGTTCAGTGTGTCAATTTTACCTGCATCCCGATGTTGGGAGTGGATTGGCGTTCGTGCAAAACAGACGCTTTTCAATTTTCTCCCATTGACTTATAACGGAGAGGCCGTTAAATTGACCTGACCTTGGGTCACCGATATCAAAATTCCGAGATCAACGTTTTATAGATACTCTTACTCCTACCAATCGCTGACAGTTTCAAGACAATCGCTCAGTCGGTGTAGCTATGACGAGCATTCTTTTTTTTCTGAGGTGAGGTCACTTGGCGTGACCTGGTGACCTGACCTTGAGTGACCTGGGTCTTAAATTTTTACAACACGTGCGGGTAAAATGCACAAACAAGAGTGCCGCCGTTTTTGAGATATTTGCGAAAAACCACAGGGGTTGTTCAAACACCTCTCGGCCCGGCGCCGGTTAACTTTTTTGAGGGTGGGAACTGGGAGAGTCCCTATTAAAGGCATCACACTGTAGGTATCCAAACGTGTCTTATTGTCTCCGGACGCATTATTTTTGTCTCTGGATGTGTCATTCCTGTTTCTGCGTGTGCTAAGATTGTCTCTGGGTGTGGCATTAAAGTCTCTAAATGCTTGTTGAACGCCTGTTCATATTCTGTTCATCATTTGTCAGTTCTGACGGCATCCGCCCCGTGTGCAGCCTGTGACAGGGGAACGTACGGGCCCGACTGCAACTCGCGCTGTGGCCGGTGTCGAGAAGGCAGCAGCTGCGACGGCGCCAGTGGCAAGTGTGAGAGCGGCTGTGAGGACGGCTTCGAGCCGCCGCTTTGTCTAGACTGTGAGTTCTTAGTCGGGACTGTGAGCGCTCCCCCTGGACTGTGAGTTCTTAGTCAGGACTGTGAGCGCTCCCCCTGGACTGTGAGTTCTTAGTCGGGACTGTGAGCTCTCCCCTGGACTGTGAGGTCTCGGTCTGGACTGTGAGTCCTCGGCGGATAGTACTTGGAAAGGCTGTGCGGCGAGGGAGTGCAGAGGTAGAGATTTTTCATAATCCCAGGGGATGCTTTTCCAGTGCCTGGTGAGTGGCAGCGTCGAATTCTTGCGTATTGAAGCACATATAGGCACGTTTTTCCAACAGCATCACTATCATCGCGACTTGCGCAAAGCAGTTTGTGTCTCAGGTGAAATGCCAGCAACCACTGGAGCATTATTACATGGTTACCTTTAAATTTCAGGGGATGCTCGAGCATTCCCCGTCCCCCCAAACCTTCAATTCTCCACCTCTGAGGGAGAATGCACAAAGTGGCATTTTATTGCCTTGATCAGGAAGTCTTGAAATTGTTTCCTGTGAACGATAATTTATCTTAGCATATAAAAAGCTTTGAAATGCACGGTAGATAACAGCCATGTTTCCACGACAGCAATCTGGTACACATTTGGTGCACATTGGGTGCAGATTGGGTGCAGATTTGGCCAAATTAGGTTCAGTGTGTCTCAGTAGCTGTCAGCTGGGGTTGCACTAATTGCTTATATGCCTGCTTTGTCATATTATCAGAAAGTATCATCGAAACACTAAAATAAATTCATAAAGAGATTTGCTGTAAAAGAGATTAGGGACATATTTGGTCAAATTAGGTGCACTCGCCGGATAGCCCGTCGTGAAAACGGCTATTAACTCCGATTAAGTGACCGTCCAAAAATTATGTTATGAAATTTCGTTTATTGGACCCGTGAAACTGGCTTGAAGTCACCAAGCTCACAATAACTTAATATATGTGACATTTATTTTGATTCGTTTGCTGCTTCTACGAGCAGATGCGGCCAACTGCATACCCAACCTTGCCGTTCCAGTGCCGCCGTGGTTCCGCGACCCACCGGCGCTGGTGAATGTCGGCTTTATCGACCTCAGCATCACCCACGCGGTGTGGAGGGAGGACTACGATAACGGGTACGGTACCGGCGCCTACAGCTACACCATCCAGTACCGCAGGAGCGACGGCAGCGCGGCGGTCTGGACGAACGGCCAGACGGAGTGGCGGTCCCCGGCTACCGGTCAGTAGTCAGTACCTTCACCGGCTGACCGGGAGTAGCCAAGAGACCCCGGCTGCGAGGGACTAGTTGGGTCACCCCAGATCCAAACAGGGACTACACCAATAACCAAACAGCTACCCGAAAACACTGGTCGATCGCCCTAGTTACTCCGGCTTCTGATCTGACAATGCTATGACCTCAAAAAGATCGTTCAATTATAATTGTATCTGGTTCCAACAACAATGCGTGGAGTTGCTGAACAGCCTAGGGAATTACTATAGGTGTTTGGCATGACTGTTTTCCGGACCGCATATTCGCGCTGTTTTCAGGTAACGTTACCCTGACAGCCAGTGGGCTCAAAGCCGAGACGGCGTACCAGGTCAGGATGGTGATCACGGATGTACAACGCGGCACCAGCACCAACGACACCAAGGTGCTCACCGTCAGCGTCACCACCGACTGTCAAAGTAAGAACTAGAGCCACATGGCTTGATAATAGCTGCACTTCAGAAGTAAGTACGAGAGTCGCATGACCTTGATAATAGCTGCACTTCAGAAGGCATTGACAAACTGACTAGGTTCCTCCTCGAAGCAGCCATTCTTGAAGTGAAGGAGTGTATGTACCTATCAGAAATCTGGTACACTAACTTATGTAACCCTGTTTTTTTCGCAAATATCTCAAAAAATGGCGATTCGCTATTTTTGACACACTTTATCACGCATACATCTTTTCTACACATGTTAAAATTGCAGACCTAGTTCGTTTAACCTGCGCCCCGCTGGGGGTCCTGGATTTCCACTCCTTGCTGGGGGGGGGGGGGGTGTTTGAACACCCACCTTCTAAATCGGCTCCTTGGCCACCTAGCGATACACGGAGGGTGGCGTTCGAAAGAGCGTCAAAAATAGTTACGTAATAATTTTTGTCACTTTTTTGGTCAGGTCAAAGATCAGGTCACCAGAGGTCATTGAAGGCAAAATTTCGCCGATTTTCAGGTCGAATGTCGACAACTTCCCAGAAGCCAAAGCATAGCTCGGGAACCAATAGAGATACAGCGCCGCGGAAAAGCGCATTCGACATTCCTACTACCGCCCTTTCTGAATATTTATCTCAGATTTGACCTAACGCCAACGGCTTTGCTTGCAGGGGACAATTATCTGTCAAAATAGCCGACTTTTTGGGAAACAGTTTTTCTGCAATAACTTTTGACTTCAGCCTTGCACGAGTTTACTTTTACCGGCATCGTGTTCCTCTTGGCAAGACGCATCGAATGAACTATAATTTGACCTTGAAAGGTCAACTTGAAAATTTGACCTCAGGTCAAGGCCATGATCTGACCGGAAAGGGTCAACTTGTATATCAGTCGTTCAGTATCGTCGAGCTGAACACATCCAAGGTATTTTCATCGCTCTAGCATGCCTCCATAAAAAGTTATTCGCGAAAAACTGTTAGATACCATTCTCGACGTGAGATGACCTCAAGGGCATAAACAGGGGGTCACGGATACCATTTTCATGTTTAGTGTGTCTAAGTTACTTGTAAGTCAGTGATCGGATGTGTTTATAATGACTTTCATCCAAAAAAGGCGTCTTTAAATTTTTCCCATTGACTTCTTACAATTGGGAGGTCGCAAAATTGGCCTGATCTTAGGTCATTGAATTCAAAATTCTGAGATAAACATTTTGTACATGCTGTTGCACTAAGCAATCACCGAAAATTCAAAACGATCAGTCACTCGGTGTAGCTATGGCAGACATCGAAACTTTTTTATGAGGTGAGGTCATTTCAAGTGACCTGGTGACCTGAGCTTGAATGACCTTAGTCTGATATTTTTACAACACGTGTAGAATTGATGTATAATAAGGTGTGCCAAAAACGGCGGTGTTCCCCGCCTCCTTCTTTTTGAGATATTCGCGAAGAACACAGGGTGTTCAAACTTCACCTTTCAAACATCACATTAACCTCAGCAGGGCTCCGGTTAATTTTATGAAATCATTACAGTGTTTTTATCGATGATTATGTCTGATAGTATGACAAAGAAGGCATACAAGCACTTAGCAGCATGGTAGCCGAGCGCTACGAAGAAACACACTGAACCTAATTTGACCAAATCTGCACCAAATCTGACCAAATTTGTACCAAATGTGTACCTACCAGATGGCCCTCGTGAAAACAGGTATTGTGGGAAAACTTGAAAGATTGATAATTCGGCCATTTTTCAGAGCCAGGCAAGATCAGTACACCAACTGCCACAGACGTCACCAGCATTTCGGCCAGCATAATTATCGAGGTACTTTTATAATCATTCCGTTTTTTTTTACCAGCACATTTTTATGCTTGGTAAAGATCTCACATCATTCATGAGTTCAACTCAGGTTTGATTATCAGATTTGGATCTATATGTGAGCACTCACTCCTTACAAGCATACATGGTATTGTCGTCGTGTAGTGCTGTCGCGATTCTTGAGTTTGAGAGGGACAGTGTGCCTCTTTAACGCTTACCTATAATCTTCAATAGCGCTTTGCTGTTACAGCCTTTGCTGTTGTATTTAGGGCCTTGGTATACAGCCTTCTATTAAACCAATTTTTTTGACGTTCCCTCCTTGAACGTGCTCATTTCTAGCGTCTGAGCAATGCAGAGGAGGCGTGTGCATACGAGCTACAATGGACGCTCAGCTCTGGGCCGGCGGAAGTGAATCGTGGTAGCGTCCGTCCTGGAGGCGGCATTAGGGAGACGGTACGGCTAGACAGACTGTACCCCTTCACCAGCTACACCCTTGTGGCGGTGGCGGAAAACAGAAAGGGAACAAGTTCCACGTCTTCAGTGACTTTTCAGACAAATGAAGCCCGTGAGTAAATTGTTTGCACTGCTCTTCGCCTTTGCACGGCATCCGTCTTTCAAAGATCATCGTTTCCGTTACGTTTAGCTTCTTGGTTTACTTACAGAATGAGCTAATTGCTGCCACTAATTTGATGTAGCGCTTATGAAGTATTTTTTTCTCTTTTTTTTTTTTACTAAAACATCCTTCTGATGGTCACGGTGATCGATCTATACCGCAGCTCCGTCCCAAGTGCTGGACCTGGAAGTAAAGCCAGGTGTATCTGGAAACCACGTCGCCACCTGGAAAGAACCGAAATGGCCCAATGGACGAATCCGGCAATACACTTTGATACTGACGGTGAAGTTCTGCATGCCTCGGAGACAAAATAGTCCAGAGAACATTTTAGCTGTCAAAAAAGGGCATGACTAGTGTAAATGAAGCCATATTTTCATATAAGGATTATAAACGGGAAGGTGAATGAAAAGTAAGGTTAATTAAATTGGACACTCTCGGCTCTCTTATCATGACTCAGAGTGTTTATGTTTTTTTTTCAGCACTTACAATATAAGGCATGTCCTGAACAAAGCAAGAAAGCGGTTGATGAGGAATTCACTCAGAATGTCACCGGTACAACCGCCCAGCTTCCAGCTCGAGTGCCGTTCTCGCGCTATGTCGTGACGGTGTCTGCCGTCACCATAGCCCCAGGAAGGTCGTTAGACGTGCGTTTCGAGAGTTCGCCCCAAGGTAAGAGCTAACACTTCTTGACGTCTCCGAATGTTTTGCATGTTAGACAAGTAAAGCCAGCACACAGCTTTATTACTATTTCAGCGTCAGCTACAGGCAGCTTTTGCCAAATTGTCATGGAACTCAGATTTGTTTTTCAACAGAAAAACACAATTCTAAAGAATAGTGTTTTAACTATTGACAACAAACTTTCGGCTACACCTTTTTCCTTCAGTTTGAAAAAAAAACTGGAGTTCGGTTTAAAAAAAGGATATTTACCTAATTCAAATTGAATGGCACGTGTTTCAAATTGAAGTATACCTTTTCCAAATTGAACTCAAACTTTTTCAAACTGAAGGAAAAAGGTGTAGAAGGGGTGCCTGGTGGCTGGTGTAATGTTGACATAGGCAGTAGGCACTGACTCGCAAACTCTGAATGCCGATGGCTGTATGTACATTGTACAAGTATTCAATATTTATTATAAGCTTTCTGGCTCACATGTATGTGGCAGTCAAAATGCTCTCTGAAACGTAAATGTTCGTTGCTTGTTGCATTCTCCTTTGCAGTCATTTTGTCACCCCTCGTTTTTGTTGTAGCTCCATCCAAGGGCCCATCCGGTGTAAGAGCAGTCAATGCAGACGAGACCAGCGTCAATGTACGCTGGAGCTTTCCGGACTGCACAGCATGGAATGACTATTACGCCAATATCAGGTGCGGTGAGAACTATTCAATGGCTAATACTCGAAACAAATGCTTACACTTGGGCCCAATGATGTAAATCCCTTAACCGGGCCTGGCCCAACTTCGCACCTGCGGCGGTCATCCACCCCCCTCCCCCGAGATATCAAAAACCAAGCAAGCTAGCGACAAGCGTTAAACGGCATGGGATATAGGAAAACTAGGTCTATAATTCTCTGTATAGGTTATCTTTAGATCAGATCAAGAATGACGTCACAGTTGAAAAAATAGGCAAAACTGCGGCGCTAGAGTTAAAAAGGTTTTTTTTTCCGCGAATAACTTTTGAATTAAGCAAGATAAGGAAAACTAATGGTACCATCGATATTCACTCGTCAATTTGCAATGAAATATATATTTTTGGCCTCGAAAGGATAAGTTCACAAAAGTTGACGCATGGTTACGTGACCTCTAGGTTGACTTGCATACTACGCGGAGTACGGTAATAACCTGCGGTTATTATTAGGGGAGAGAGAGCTTATTTCTTTATCTTTTAAAGAAGACTTAATATAAGAGAGATGGTAGTATCGTCTTGGTGTCATATCTGATCAAAGCGACCATCCTCCAATGTCCCAACTTACCCCGCGGGCGGGGTGAGTCGGGCCAGGGGTTGGGGCAAGTTAGTGCACTAGGAAAAACAGTTTATCTAAACACATTTGTATTCATGTTTCACATGAACAGTCATCGCTAATCCATGCGGGCATGTTTATCAACATTTAATGACAAAACGCAAAAGTTCGCAGTACCCCTGCGGCAAACAAAAACGCACACACGGAAAATGTGTATGACCAGCTTCAGATGCTTTTACAAAATGCACCACCAACCTCACTCATTCGCTCTCCGAGTAACAGTTTTGACAGATGAAGACTCTGCTGCCCCCTGTGCATAGCGTATGTGCCCAATCTTCACACTGCAAGCATTGCTCCCTCGACTTGCTTTTGACAAACTTGCCCAACCTGCCCCACATCAACCTGGCCCAACTAACCCCGAAGCGCCATTCTTATTTTGGAACCACGTACGTGACCAATTCACAATGATTTGGCGAAGAACGGTTGAGAGTGTACTCGTATCCAAAATGTCCGCAGGTCTCTCAGGCGTAGCGGATTGGCAACGTGTCCACTATCAATGACACTAGAAAAGAATGTTTTCAAAGCAAGGAAATCACTTTTGGTACCTGAAAACACATTTTTAGCGATTAGTAACAGCACTTACCTCAGGACGCGCCGACACCACGTTGACAAACAGACGGCGTTACAGTGCATGCGCAAAATAAGTTTGAACGCCAACAGCCGAGAAGTATTGGAAATATCCCTTCCGTCCCAACTTACCCCTGGCACCAACTAGCCCCGGTCTCCCCTACGCGTCTTAACCCTCGCACGACCAGGCCATTTCTCATAACACGAACGACCAGGGGGGGGGGGAGGTTGTTACGACCCCCCCTGGCGTTTCGAAACGGAAGGTCGTAGAGCTTAGCGGAAAAAACCAACGGATTGGTCTCAACGAGATCTCGCGATTGGTGGTATATTTTTTGGTCCTAGGTCAACATTTGACCTATTTTTGACCGGTCAAAGGTCAAATTTTCGGAAAAATAGACTTTTGTCAACTTTCGGCGGCGATTGCGGCAGAACGGTGGGAGATATCGACTTGAAACCTTCACTATCGTATTCCTTGATCAATTCTCTATCGTTTGGTATGTATTTCGTTTCCCTAGCTCTAAAAATGGCGCGTTGGGAGCGCCGGAAGTCGGCAAGGTCACAGTCGGCGGCAGAAATTCGAAAAATCAAAATTTAAATTTTTGAAATCTGATTGTATTTTTGGATTTGGGAGGTCCATTTGCTCCCTATAGAAGCTAATATTGCTGCATATTCCCATTGAGGTGACAAGAATTAGCAAAATAGTGGTTCGGGCGCTTTTCAAAAATAGTACCGGACGCTGTTCCTCTTGTGACGTCATAGCTCCGTGACCTGACCTGACCCGGTCAAATTTCTTATACCATATGATCGCCAATGCTTGCCCCAACATGCATGGGAAGTTTCATCACGATCCATCAACCGATGTCCGTACCACCGGCAGGAAACCTCGGGCGTTGGCACTCAGTTTGTGAAAATCCGGCCGGAGGCTGTACCTCTTATGACGTCATAACTCCGTGACCTGACATGACCCGATCAATTTTTTCGGCAAAAGATGCGCAAAGGCTGCCCCAGAGGGTATTGAAAATTTCAGCCCGCTACGACAAGCCGTTTAGCGTGCACTTCGAAAAACCTCAGGGGGGGGGGGGGTTGATACAACCCCCCCCCCCCTAGGCGTTCTAGGGTTAACAAGCTGAATACAATGAGAATGTTTGCATGGACGTGTCTCTTTTCTGTAAAGAGTTATTATACAGGGTGTCCGGAAAAAAGTTTACCCATGAAAACTTTAATACAATCCGCAATTTTATGAATATCTTTACAATTCTCTCACATCATCACACGACCATGAGAAGTTAATGCTGTAATTTTCAAGAAAAATGGTTTACCCGTGCCCCACTGGGGTCTGCGTATAACACGGCCTGGGGGGGGGGGTCTCTCCATAGCCCCCCCCCTCCTTTCTCCGAAACTACTGGGCCGATCGTCAAAATTCAAACGGCATCTGATAGCCCCGGAAAAACTGTCGAGCAAAATGTAATTTCATTGACCTCGAGGTCACCGATGACGTCACAGGCCAGGTCAAAGTAAACATTATAAGCATTTTGGCTTGTTCACATTTTGGGCTCTGGCCGCCGTCTTACAAGTCAGATCAGGCTAATTTTTGGTTTATACACTCATGAACAGATGCTCTAGATACCCTGAGGGTACCAAACTTGTACTTTTGATTTTCAGGTCAGGGTCAGATCATCACAGGTCACGGAAATATTATATCATGCGTCGGTCACGTGACACATGTTTTATGGTCCATTTAGGTCATGGATTTCGAATTTGTTGTCGTCTGTGTCATTTGAGGTCATTTTGAGTCGAATTTAGCTTAGGTCAGGTCACTTTCAGGTCAAAAAAAGGTCAAATTTTGAAGCTATAATTTTTCAACAAAAAAGGTATCTATTGGATGCAGTTTGAGCTCAGGAACACGATGGTGCTATTTATATGGGTATACTATGTCAAATACGTACTGTAAAAATGATTTGAAAAATTAATAATTGTAAATGTTTTGCAATAATGCGTATAACTTGGCCATTTTTTAGAATATTTAGCTAAAACTTGCTGGAGTTAGTCATAAGCATGCGTTCTATCACATATATTCCGGTTGTTATCGAAAAGTCAAAAAATTTTTGAAAAAAATATAAAAATATAAATTTTGAATTTTATTATATAAAATTTTCAAAATTTTCAAAATTTTGAAAATCCGAGATTGCAGTTTGATAGCGCAGTCTATTCTGAGTCCTCTCATGCAAAGAAATTGGATTTAGGTTAAAACTGAGCTCTTGGGAGCGATTGCCGTGGTTCAATGTTTTGCGTTGAAATCGGCCGAATATGACGTCACTCTGACGTCATTTCCGGCTGACCTATGATAGCTACGAAGTTCATATTTTGACACAAATGCAGCCGAAGGTACTGAAAGTTTGGCGTCGATACCTCAAGCGGTTTGAAAGTTATTGCAGAAAAACGGGAGGGGGCTATGAATAGCCCCCCCCCCCCGCCCCAGTGGGGCGCGGGTTAATGTGATTGGAATTGCATTACGAAAAAACACGTGGAAAACGCACGCCATAGTGTATCTGTTACAGGCAATGTGTGGAATCAGGCATTCTATAGAATGCCTGACCGACCAGGCATTCTATAGAATCCCTAGGTATTCTATGGAATGCCTGACCCACCAGGGATTCTATAGAATCCCTGAGCATTCTATAGAATGCCTGATTTTCAGGCATTCATAGAATGCCTAGGAAATACACGAATCTTTCCAACATATAAGTGTATGTTGTATAAGATTATGAGCAGAGACCGACACGTAACATTATTATTTTCTGCCAGGCTACCTTGCGGTCAGCTATTCATGTTCATTCAGTCAAATGTTCATTCAGTCCTTTATGTTCATTCAGTCAAATTTTCCGGTCAGGTATTCAATCTGACCTTATTAGGTCAAATTGTATCAGGATTTCATTCTGAGAGTACAGAGTATCTTAACGCTAGAAAGACGATGGTGGTAATGTCAATATCGGAAACGCCTTTGGAAGGTAAAAAAAGTACTCAGAAAAAAGTCTGACAAATCGCCCATTCTTGGAGGTGTTTGCCTTCTAAGGAATTGATTTAACCCGGCAGGCGGTGGGCCTACCAGCCACCTTCCGCGCGGTGGGGGGGGGGGGCACTTTTTTGCCCCCCCCCGTATCTCCAAAACTACTGGACGGATCCGGTAAATTCAAACGGCGTTCGGTAGCCCTGTCAAATTTGTCAAGGGAAACCAAATTTCATTGACCTCGGGGTCACCGATGACGTCACAGGTCAGGTCAAAGATAAAATGTTTTACCGTTCACGGGGCTTCTAGGGAAAGCGCTATAACACCGAGTAAAACGCATTTTGTCGAAAATCAGCGATAAGCCGTCTGTTGTCTAGTACATATGTTGCTATTAGAGGTCACTGGTCATACCAGGTCAGGTCACAGGTCAGGTCACCAAAGGTCACCAAGGGTCACCACATGAGCCCAACTTTATTAAGGTTATGCGATGCATGTTTTATGGCCAGTTTTTCATTTCCAACTCAATGGTGTTGGTTATAAGACCATCAGGTACGGTTTAGGTCACTTTCTGGTGGAGGTCAGGTCAAGGTCAGGTCAAAAAAAGGTCAAATTTCAAAGTTGATATTTTTGCATTAAATGGGTATCGATTCGATGCAGCTCGTCACGGGGAGTCTAATGGTGGTCTTTGTTTTGCGCTACGAGGTCTAGAATTGCTAAAAATTGAGTTTGAAAATTTGACGTCATCAATTTTGAACAGTTTTTTCGCTATAACTTGGCCAAAAAAAGAGGTATCGATCTCAAATTTGGTATGTAGATAGAAGGTGGGAGGGGCTATCACATATATTCCGGTTTTTTCGAAATTCAAAAAACTTTTTGGATTTTTGGGCTATTATATAAAAAATCTATTTTTTTATTTTTGGGGGTCAAAATCCAAAAATTCGAAAAACCGAAATAGCAGTTTTGTAGCCCTTTTAATTTCACACCTTTTATGTTTGACACATTTTTCTGTACCTCTAAAGCTGTAGGCCTGACAGCTCTTCCCGCGAAACCTTTTTTTGGGTCGAAAATGGCAAAAATGACGTCACTCTGACGTCATTAGCGGCCAACCTATCATAGCCTTTGGAAAAATTTTTGGTCACCATGTGCGCTAGCTGCTCCCGGGAGGGTACTGAAAGTTTGGTGACGATCGGCGCAGCGGTTCTCGAGATATATCGAAAAAACTAAAGGGGGGGGGCAAAAAAATGCCCCCCCCCCACCGCCTGGAAGGTTAAAGTCAAACTGGAGAAAACGGCTACGAGCCAAAAATGGACAAAATTGGCCTGACCTAAAAATGGCTTAGCTATTTGTTTTATATATGTCATCCTTTTAACATTGCCAAAGAAGCACTGGAGTAAAATTTCATAAGTTTGACGACCTTTCGAATACCACATGGCCCAGAAGTCAAGCTGGAAGGGGAGATCGAACAACACCTAATCCGGCTCTACGGCCGGGCCACCGCCCGGACGTGGATTAATGAACCATTTATTCAGGTTACTCCCTGACATTACAGTGTAGGTTGAGCTGTCCAGTGTCCATGTATATTGAGAGTCGTTACACGAAGTGCTTATGACGACATAAAATGTGACCTTTGGTGTATTTTTTACCTTCATTTCTAACATCAGAACAAAGCCATTGTCATTCGCAATCACTTTCGATTCAAGCCGTACGGTCCACCCTCCCAGCCAACACTCTTCTAATGCAGCTTCGTATCTGTAGCAGCATAATCCTCCGAGGGTAACCGTTTAAGCGACTGGTTGGCCTGTAGCTCTCCCGCGTGCCTTGCGCCGTGGCTCTCCCGCGTGCCAACGGGATTGGATCAGTTGCTGCTTGCGGCGCACCATTTGGTGGTCGGCATAGCCCAATTTCTCCCTCGCTTCCTCTCAACTCATTGCCCTGAAATGGTGTGAGGTGACGACCGGCCTAGGCCAGCAATGAAAATTAGGTAAACAAATAGCATTACTGCCACTGACCCCTAATTTTCGAAGTGTGTTTCGCACAATCAAAATACTTAGGCATTCAATAGAATGCCTGGGAGCTTTAGCCAGGCATTCTATAGAATGCCTAAGCAGTCAGGGATTTTACAGAATACCTAGGGATTCTATAGAATGTCTGGTCGGTCAGGCATTCTATAGAATGGTATGGTATTTTTGGCTTACGGGCCACCACAGGGTCCTGTATTTGGGCCCGGTGAAAGACTAGGCATTCTATATAATGCCTGATTCCACACATTGCCTGTAACATATCTACCTACTTGAAAAATTCAGCTGAGTACTACCAAAATTGGTAATTTTATTAAAGATTCTTTGGGAAAGCTTTTTCCGGACACCCTGTAATTTTTTCAGGATTCTGGCTCCAAGTATGTTTTTTAATAAGCTCGTGTTTTAGCGAGCAAAACAGGCAAAAACGGAACCTGAGAAAACCGAACGTCGACTAATTTCTTAACATGTGATTTTTCCCCGAATAATTTCCATCCGTGCGTTCTGGGACTAGATATTAGACCAGTATAACGCCTTTGGGGGCGACTAGCGGAGCGAGCGAGAGGGTGAGCCTCGCACGTGCGAAATTGCGAGGGGGTACCTCCAACTGACTTGTGCACGGCACCCTACTAACCGGTCTCTAGCGATGTGCCAAATTTGGGCACAATCGGCCCAGCCGTTCTCGAGATCTGGAAGCGGCACCCTGCACGTGCGCACGTGCAAAATGGGTCCCAACTGACTTATGCACGGCACCCTACTAACCCGTCCCTAACTGTGTACCAAATTTGAGCGCAATCGGTCCAGCCGTTCTCGAGATCTGGAAACGGCCCCTGCACGTGCGCACGTGCAGCAGCACCCCAACTCTGGCACATGAATATGCATTATGCAGTGCCTAGTGGGTGCCTACCTACATACCAACTTTCAGCGCAATCGGCCAAGTAGTTACCAATATATTGTAACAATTACAAAACTGACACCTCTTCGTTTTGCACGTGGCACGTGCATAAGGGGTCACCCACATGCATCGGGAATAGTCCAATACTTGGTAGAAGGAATGAAGCTACCCTACAAAAATTACCGCATGTAAATCGGTCAAGTGGTTGCTGAGATATAAGCCTCGCAAAAGCGTCCGCACGGCCGGCCGGCCGGCCGGCCGGCCGCTCATACTCAGAAATTTCCGTTAATCTAAGGAAAGACTACGCTCGCTTCGCTCGCTCCGTAATCAGTTTTTACTCCGAGACCCATAACCTCATAACTATCCGTGATAAACTCATTATTTCCATACTATCTCCTTCCTTGATTCTTCTGCTTTTTTGAGCAAAGTAACTTTTCCGCTACCTCTACCAGTTTTTCTTCTACGGTCTGCCGAATAGAACAATGTTTTTGATACAACTTACCCCATGGCTTGGGTGAGTTGTATCACATGGTGGGGTAATTTGTATCACCATTTCACGTTTCAGGGAGTGTGCTTGCTACTGGTTTTGAACATAACAACAACATTAAATGGGGTTAATACAATGTATATGCTCAAAGGCTTCACTTTTATTAGACCAAACTTGGGTCAATCCGAACGAAACATCGAAACGAACGAAACATCAACAGACTAGGTGCAAAAGTGGCCCGTTAACAGCAAAGAAGAAAAACATTGTGCCGAAATGGAACGAGTATTGACTAGCTACCTACAAACGCGAGACAGGGCTTAGCTTTCGCGATCAAAAGCAACATACCCATACATACATACATACATACATACATACATGTTACAACATACCCCACCCGGCTCTGATACAACATGTACCTCGCCGCCATCTTGGAAAAACATCCTCGTGCTCAAAAACAGCGGACAGCTGGAGAAATCCATTTTCACTCACGCAGCCTTAGAACCTACCCTCACCACCGCTACGGAGATCTTTCAAATTCATGCACATCTAAATGCCCAAAACACACATTTTCTTGCAACTTATTTTTTAGAATGACATTAAAACATAAAATCGCCTGTCACCTCGAGACGCGTCCACCCAGCCACACGACAGAACAGGGAAAGATGGCGCCCGGAAAACCTCGTCGGCTGGTCGTGTCACGAGCGTCATCTATTGGATAAGTTTGGCACAATTCACCCTGATACAACTTGGACATGATACTCCCCTACGCTCGCTTCGCTCGCTCCGTAAACAGTGGTGCCGTCATGCTGTCAAACTTGTATTGCAATGTGACGTATAAATACCATGGACGGAACCGCTTACTCAATTATAAAATCGGCAACAGTGAAAAAACAAAGTTTCCCCAAATTCGTTAACACTTTGTCCCACCGCGGTACGGACATTAGGTGCTGCTGCAACCAGTGACGTCATCAACGTATGCTATTTTTTTAAGACACAATTTCCGGGTACTTACCGTGCACAATTTGAAATCGATTTTTTTTTTCGGTAAGAAATTATTGGCCAGACGCTGAAGTTGCTACAACTCACGTGAGAGCTTCGGTAATGAACTTGGAGCCAGCGTCCCTTTGGAAAACGAACTATAGGAAACAAAACTTTGGTTACCTTTGATGAGGTCACATGGCTTTGCAGTTGACAAATAGCAGTTGGTCATTACTACTCGTTCCAGTGAAAAATGAGGCATGTGATTTTTCCCAATTGACAATTATAATAGAAAGGTTAAGAATTTATCCCTTTGGTCATCGGTATAAATGGTCCAAAATTTAAAAAAAATTGTCGGCATCTACCTATGGCCTCATTCATCCTGCAACTTTGAAAGAGCTCGGTCATGTACTGTACGTATGTACGGCTCTGACACGGTGACATACTTGTATAGAAGTCATTTGAGGTTGGGTCATTAAAAGTGACACTGTGACCTGACCTTTGAAAAAGGGAAGTTATAACTTGCACACAATATGTGAAATTGTAAAAGAAACAGTGACGCAAAATTTCACGGCGTTACGCGTCGCGTTTTCCCGCCATTTACGAGCAGTCTTAGGTGGATAACTGCCCCCCCCCCCGCAGGTACGCAGACTAATTACATATTGCTTCTGAGTGTCATGGTTAACTATTGTTCATTTCTGGATTTCTTTCAACATTATGATATTCATTTTTATAATAAGCTGAATTGGATAAATATATTGATCGATCCTAATGTTCACAGGGTTAACGTCCTCGTACTAGGTGCAAGTGCATGGAACATGAATACAAGGTATGATAAGGTCGGCAAAACGTCACAAACTGAAATCGAAATCATCGAGCTTACACCATACTCCAACTACTTTGCTCAAGTTTCGATGAACAACAGCGTTGGTGTCTCGCCAGATCCGCAGACGACACGCTTCTCTACACGACAGAGCAGTTACGGTGCGGTATAAGATGAGCTCGACAAAGCATCGCATTTTTACTGTGGTATGACGAGCTAGTACGTAACTGTATAATGCATGAAACAGAATGCAGGAAGAGTTACACTCCTGCAACCGTTTCTTCTATAAGCTTGTAAGGTCCCTTTTAAACGTCGGTACCACACCACCTTTACCTAACTGAGCCGACAGCCTACCCAAGCGCTTTGCCGCCTCCCCCTGCTGACGTCCGTCCGTGTTTGGTGGGTCAGGTCCGGATCGGCCAGCCAATTTCACCGTGCTCACCGTAACGTCCACCAGCCTCACGGTCGGGTGGGACAGGCCGTCGCCGCCGCTCTGCCGAATCACCGAGTACCGGGTCCGGTGTCACGGTGACGGCTGCCCCGCTCTGCTGACGGTGCCCGCCGACGGGCCCGGCTGCCGGACAGCCCACCTCGGACGTCAGTGCGGCGCCACAGTGACCGGGCTGAAGGAGGTCACTTCATACACTCTGGAGGTGGGTCCTTCAGTCGACCTCTTATGACGCCCTTCGATCCTTGCTCTGGCCATTGCCTTGACCTTCTGAACTTGAGGCACACCTTTGGTTATAGTCTATCCTATAGTTGTGACCTGGGCCTCGTTTCACAAAGCGATTCCGTAACTTACGCCGTTTTTTGATCTTGTATTGCAAGTGCATGTGAAGCGATGGCGATAGTTTGAATCGTTGAATTTATTTATCTTGCAAGGAAGAACAGAAGGCAGAAGGAGAAATGAATTTATCGCTTCACATGCGCTTGTAATACAAGCCCAAAAATTGACGTAAGTTACGGACTCGCTTTATGAAACGAGGCCCTGATCTTTGACCTAACTTTTGACGTAATCTTTGAACCCTGGCCTGATCTTCCCGAGCGCGGAGCCCCGTCACTCGGTCCATGATCAAGCCAGACTTTTGCGGAAAAAAGCGAGCATGTTGCCCGTGACGAGAGAAAGCCGATGATAGGTATCAAATTTAAGATCCTTGCTTATTAGCTGACTTTACAAGTCAGCTACAATGAGCTGGCTTTACAAGTCAGCTACAATGAGCTGACTTTACAAGTCAGCTCATGATTCATGGATTGACCAGTTCATGAATCATGAATCGCAATGTGTGGGGAAAAGTCGGCAAATTCCGGACTTGCTAGAACTTATCAGTCATGGATAAAAATTGAAATGCTCTTTTTTTTAGCCGAAAACACGCTCAAACATCAGGACAGGGGTGAACATGACACACTTAACCGGAAAATTGTGCACCTGTGACCCCTTTTATGCCCCTGAGGTCATCTCAGATCATTAAACGTCTCCAACACTTTTTGACAATAACTTTAGATAAATACATGCCGTAGAGCACTAAAAACACCATGCATGTGTTCAGCTCAATAATACGAACTGAATGAAATGCAACATGGACTTCCGTGACCTTGACCTGAGGTCAAATTTTTAAGTTGACTTTTTAAGGTCAACTTATAGTTCATTCGACGCATCTCGACGAGACAAATGCGTTGCTGGTAAAATCAGCTTGATATGTGCTTGGAGTAAGGGGGTGTTCAAACACCCGCCCCCCCTCCCCAGTAGGGCGCGGGTTAAAAGAGCTATCGAATGCGCTTTCCGCAGCGCGATAGCTCTTTTGGTTCCCGACCTATGCGATGGTTTGTGAAAAGTTGTCAAAATCGGGAACAAAAATTTGCGAAAATTTAACCTTGGTGACCTTCAGTGACCTCAGAGATAACGTGATAAAAAATGATCTATGTAATTCTGAAAGTTTTGAAGCGAGCTATCTGTTGCTTTTTACTGTGTCTTTCTAGCGCTCTTACTTTCTGAGATAATCTGGTGCGGCCGAAAAGGCCCCCACCTGGCCAAGTTGGCTGAGAGGCCCACCCGGGCGCGGGTTAAAGACGATGAAGGTATGCATGCATTAGGGTTAGGTCCGATCTTGTCAGGCTAGGTCAACCAGAAGGCGTCCCACCAGCTATCCATAGTAGGCGTGAACCACCACTGCAGCTCCGTTATAATTATGTTGCATAGGCGCCAAATCTAATTGTTAAATGTTCAAATCAGTTCCAAATTCGAAATAAGCTCCAAAAACTACTCTTAAACGTCGTAAAACTCGAACAAGTCGGTTGAGGTCACCAAGGGTCAGTGACCATGACCTGACCTTCAGGTGACAGTCAACAACTAAGCGTCTCACGGTTCGTCGGAAACTCATTTCATCCAGAGAAGAAACGAAATATACCATTCGAAAGCTGACGGTGAGCTGATCTCAAAAATGTATTTTTTTTATCGAAATCGTTCGATGGCCTTTTTTTTTAAAAAAAAAATGCGTTTTTGTAAAAACGTAATATTTTTTTATTCAACAAGCTATCCAGGACAGTCTTGAAATCACAGGAATGTTTTTTCGTTTTCCAGTGAAAGCTGAATACCAAAGGAACAATGTGCAGCAATAAAATGTTCTCAAATATTAATATGCGCCTCTCACAGCCGGCAACAAGGCGCAATCACACAGCTGAGCAATATCACGATGGATCAAGCTCAGCCACACAGAAGCGTGAAATGACCCTTATCGACTCGCAGACACGGCGCTAGGCCCGGCCACGGAAGAAACGTTCGAGTCTCGTCCTGCTAAACAAGTGTTATATTTGTTTGTTTAACGATCCATATCGCTATCAATGTTATTCAGGGTATATGTGAAGACAGTTTGTGGTAACCACGTGTGTCGCCGGCCGGCACGGGAGTTCCCGGCGCAGACCGATTCGCGCGCCGACTTGTGACGTCGCTACCCCGCCCCGGCGCTGGGGGGGGGGGCGGCCCAGGACGTGTCTGTTAGTGAACTTTGTCCCATCACGATGCGACCGCGTGCCTGCGGCCTGCGCTGCCGCAGTGCGTCGGCCAGTGACCAATCCGCGCTCCGATCCGCAGCCACGTGGTGTCCGAGTGCTTCTGCGCATGTCTGGGGCCCGGCCCGCTGCGCGGGCTCCCCCGGCCATTCTAGGCCGAGCTCTTGACCCGAGCAGACGCGTCACGTCTGGCTCCATTAGGCCCGTTCTGTCCGGGATTTAGAACTTGTAGATTAGGCAGGGCATATATGGCAAACTTGGATTTCCTTGGAAGTGACAGCCACTACTCGGTAACGATTTTCTCGCTCACAACTCGTTGGTTGTCGATTGTGGTTCCCAAGTTCTCCGCGACTCCACCACTCTGCTCTCTGCTCCCGGTGTACCGACGACCGGGGGGTCTGTTCATTTGGTGATAAATGATCTCGCTCAGGTGCCTGAGGCAGTGCGGCCCATCCTAGAGGATCACCCCGCTGTTCTCAGCCCTAACCAGCCGGATTACACAGACTCGCCAATCAAAACCACTCACTTCATCGACACCGGCAGCGCTCCACCCACGTTCGCCAGCCCACGCAAGCTGCCGCCCGACAAACTAACCGCAGCAAAGCAAGCACTCGATGTGCTGCTCAAAACAGGAGTGATTCGTCCGTCTAGGTCCCCGTGGGCCTCACCCATTCACATGGTTCCGAAGAGTACCCCTGGTGAGTGGCGTGTCACCGGTGATTACCGCGCGCTCAACGCCGTAACCAAACCGGATCGCTACCCACTGCCGCACATTCAGAGCCTCTCAACCAAGCTCCACAACGCTCAGTGGTTCAGCAAAATCGATCTGCTCCGTGCATATCACCAGGTGCCTATGAACCCCGCTGACTCAGAGAAGACGGCCGTCACCACGCCCTTCGGCTTGTACGAATACGCCTTCATTCCAATGGGGCTTCGCAACGCAGGTGCCACATTCCAGAGGGTCATGGACGGCATCTTCCGAGACGTGCCGTGCGTATTCGTCTATCTCGACGATATTCTGGTATTTTCCGAGAACCACGAGCAGCATGAGAAAGATCTGCGCCTCGTGTTCAGCAAGCTGGCTGAGCACAAGCTTCGCATCTCACTGGAGAAATGCGAGTTCATGAAGAAGTCACTCATTTTCCTCGGTCATGACGTCACCAGCACAGGTGTCACACCTCCCAAGGCCAGAGTGAAGGAGATTCTGGACCTCCCTCTACCGCATGACTCAGAGTCACTGCGTCGCTATCTGGGACTCATCGGCTTCTACCGGCGTATGATTCCGCGATTTGCCCATGTCACGTTCCACCTGACCGAACTGATTCGACTCAATCCAAAAAGCAAAGAACTGACGTGGACAGAGGAACAGGCTCAGGCGTTCAGTGACAGTAAAGCAGCGCTGGCTGGCGCCTGCACTCTTCCACACCCAGTGCCACACTGCGAGCAGTACGAGCTCGTTACTGACGCATCACAAGTCGCGGTGGGTGCCGCGCTCCATCAGATTGTGGACGGAGTACCCGTTCCCATTGGCTTCTTCTCACGGAAGCTCAGTCAGGCCCAACAGAAGTACGCCGCGTATGACAGAGAGCTACTCGCGGCTTATCTGGCCACACTCAATTTTCGTGACATGATCGAAGGCCGCCACGTTACCCTGCGAACAGATCACAAACCACTCGTGCGCGCTTTTCACAGCCCGCACACGGCTAAGTCTGACCGCCAACAGCGCCACTGGTGTGTCGTCACGGAATACATCACGGAGGTCTCGTACATTCGTGGCAGTGACAACGTGGTGGCGGACTGCCTCAGTCGCCCGGTAAATGCAGTGTCCCTCGATGCATGTGACCTCCATTTTATCGCGGCGGCTCAGAAGCAGGAAAAGGAGAGAGACGCCGACAGTGCCGATTCAGAGCACCAGGATTCCGAGTCAGGTCCAGAATCGCGCTCAAACCCGCAGGACACCTCCCGATTGGAGCCAGTAACACTGTCTGGCGACGTCACAGTCCTGTGTGAAAACACTGGACCACATCCACGCCCGTACGTACCAGAGGCATGCAGGCGCGCCGTGTTTGATCGTTTCCACGGCCTGTCACACCCGGGTAGGAAAGGCACCACCCGCCTCATCAGCTCACGCTATTTCTGGCGTGACATGCGCCGCGACATTGCTCGATGGGTGAAGGAGTGTGAAGCATGCCAGGAAGCCAAGGTGCACAGGCACACTCGTTCTCCGCCCGGTCGATTCGACGTGCCCTCACAGCGGTTCGAAACTGTACATATAGACATAGTCGGGCCGCTGCCACCGTCAGTACCCCACAGACACCCCTTCACCGCGCCATTCCGTTATTTGTTGACATGCATCGATCGCGCCACGCGGTGGGTCGAGGCCGTGCCGTTGGTCTCGATCACCGCGGAAAGTGTAGCCTCTGCTTTCATCGACACTTGGGTGTCCCGGTTCGGAGTGCCACTGCATGTAGTCACGGACCGCGGTTCCCAATTCGAATCAGAACTGTTTTCACACTTGTCTTCAATGATAGGTTTCCATCGCCTCCGAACCACTGCTTATCATCCGACATGTAATGGGATGGTGGAAAGAGTCCACCGAACGCTCAAAGCCGCCATCCGGGCGCGCAGGCAAGAGTGGCTGCGCGCG